CCCGGGCTAGATGGCTTTCCTCATGGCCCCCAAGAAAGACTGTAGAGCTTTTCTCAGATGAGCTGGCAGCCTCTCCTTGGGAAGGGGTTAGCGTGCACAGTGCAGTCCAGGCCTCTCTGCGAGGATGACCCGTGAAAGCTCAGTGATAGCGCTGATACTGCCGAAAACACTAATACTCAGGCAGTAGAAAATACCCACGTGCTGGAAACACTATGAAGGCCTGGCTGTGTGTGACCCAGGTGCCGGGCAGGAGGGGCAGGGAGTGGACGGACCCTCAACCCGGCATACCTGTCCCTGTCCCTGTCCCTGTGTGCACCGTGAGGCTTTGCAGCCCGCAGCAGGTGGCAGTGACAGAGCCTTAGGGGCCGTTGGAGCTCCTCACTGCTCTCTGATCAGGCCGCCACGAGCCGCGTTGCTCCCGCCTTCCTGTGGCGCTGGAGAGTGGCACGAGTGTCCCTCAGGCTGCAGCGTGCAGGTGTGCAGGGCAGGCTTGTCCAGGGGCCCAGTTGTGCCTTGTTGTAATTAGCATCTGCAAGCACCGCCTCTGAGTTACGGCAGTTTCCTCCTCCTTACGGACTCACGCCCTGGCTTCTGTATTTGATGACCTGATCTCTTTATCACTATTCACAAAGTTCTCAGTTCCTTTCCTAGACTTCACTGCCCAGCAGAGCCTTTCTTGTTTTGTGTCCTCCTGGCCACAGAAAGATAGGAGTTGAAGCTCACTGGAGGGTAGCAGGGTTCTTGGGCAGGAACAGGAGCACTGAGGGAGAGGAGTGGGTCTCCCAGGCCTCCCAGAAACTGCGTCACAGTCAAGCCCACCGTGAGGTCTGGAACCGCGTGGCTGTGCTGGGCCTAGCCGGTGGCAGCTGCACTGACTGGTTCTGCTGCTCCAGTGTCCTGGGGAACCTTGTCAGGAGCATTTGTGCCCAAAGCCCAGCCGTGGGTAGAGTGGGCGTATCCCAAGTAGATAGAACCCAGGCTTTGGGGCATCTTGAAGTCCCTGGTGCTTCAGTGGTCAGCCTCTCAAGCCTGAGAATGCTGATTATTGAAATCTTAAATACCTATGAGATAAAAACAACATATCTGTTGTTCATGTTCCATATTTGCAGGCTTTGTGTTTTCAAAGTAGTTTACATTTTGGCCCATTTTGTCATTATTCTACTAACATGAGTGGCTCACCCGTCCCAAAGTGGAGCCTGCATTTGTGGCCTGCACCTTGGTGGACTGGTAGATGTGCTGAAGGAACCGATGCAGATCCTCTGTTCCCGGGTGGGCCATGCCCAGGAACAGTACAGAGCGGTGCAGAGCGACTGGGGGCTAGGGCTGGAACCCTCATTTCTGTGGTTCCCTGGGGGATTCCAGATCAAGGTGACTTTGAAAAGCACAAATTTAAATGTGCATTTACTGATTTAATTGTTTTGGAATAGTTTCTGTAACAGTCCCATTCTGTGTTTCAGGATATAATTGATCGACTGATCATTTTAAATTCTGAAGCTAAGATTCATTCTTTATTCAACTACGAGCAATCACACATCTTCGGACTAAGGTAAGATGCTTGGTTTTGCTTGAAATGTATTTTATAAGAAATGTATTTTATATGTTATAACAATAATGCATTTGTTCTGTATACTTAGAGAAATATTTAGAATAAGCTAATTTAAAAATTATATTTAAAGATTAATTTTCTTCCTCATCACAGACACATTCTGGCATCTAAGTTTCTGTGCTCCAGGCTTTGTCTGAGCTCAGGGTCTGTATTTTAGTGTCTTCCGCTGCTGGTTTTAACACAGGCGTGATGGAGACTGTTTCACTAGGGTTCTCAGGGTCACCTGGGGCACCCTGCACTAGTGTGTGAGTAGATGTTGCCCACGATGAAGCTTTGAGGGGGTGTGGACGCACACACGGTTTATCTTGAGGCCTAACTTTGCTGCCTGGGTGTTGACCTCACTCTTCAGCTTTGCTTTTCCTGAGGCTTCTGTCTTTCTGGTTGACTTCAGCCTCCTTGACATTTTATTTAGCATGCTCGATGGGAAGGACAGCAGGGCTGGTAGGGCTCAAGGAATTAGGCAGTTTTGAGTCTTTTGGTCCTATGTAGACATAAACACGCTTCCCACCTACTGCCTTTGAAATTTGCTGAATTAAGGAAATTGTCCACTTGGGTAGGCTCAGGATTCCCTCCCTGCTGTCTCAGTTTTTACATTTTTAGGGAAGTCTGTGATAATGCATTGTCTAAGAAGTAAGGTGGTTGTTTTTCTAAATTTAGAATTTTCTAGTGGGAGTGTATTTTATGGATCTGCATTTTAACACAAAAAGAATCATTCATTAATAGGTGAGCTTTGTCTTTAGTCTCTCTTGTCCAAAGAAGGCACAGAAATGTGCAGCTGTTGCGGCTCTTTGGGTGGTCTGCCCTCTGACTAAAATCTGTTTGCATGTTGAACTTGGACCCTGAGTTCATAGCACCTCATAAACAGTGAAGAGAGTGGGAAAGTACCCATTCGGTGGGGTCTGCTGTGGGCGTGTGCGCTCTGAGAGCCGGAGCAGAAGGACTTAGATTTGGACCTGTTGTTTAGCAATTTACCCAGGGACTTTTTTCCCCCTGCATATTTCTTTTAAATAATTTTCTCTGGTGTTCTTTTGGAAAAAACTTGCAGTTGGATTTTATTAAGTTATATAAAAAAAAATTCAAAAGGTGAAAGCTTCAGGGAGCACCGTGCCTGCTTTCTCATGGTATCCACGTGGGCTAGCTGCGTCCTGTGCTGCACAGTTCCTGTTGCCTCATTGGTAGACAAGCAAAGCCAGGGATTGTGGCTCCTCGCCAGCTGTGTGACACGGTCCTGGCTCCTCAGCTGCTAACGGGGAGGGGCATGATTTCCTCACAGAGGTGAGGGTGATAGAGGATTTTTAAGTAGCACCTGGCATGTAGCAAGCTCTATGAAGATGGCTGCAGGAATAGCACTTTGTGAGTTCTTGTGCATCTACTCGCTCTTTTCTGATTTTGTGTTTCCCCATGAAATACTCTTGTCTGCGCCTTTTGGTACCTCAGTCTTCTTTCACGTGCCTCCTAGTAATTTCCTGTTTTTGTAACATCAGTGTCCAGGCATAAAATGAAGAAATTGCTCTCTGAGGAAAATTCTCTTAAC